CTAATTTAGACTTTAAGATGTCACAAAATATTTATTTTTTATAAATCAAAAGTATATTTAAAAAAATAATGAAAAAACAAAAAAATGAAAAATTAAATGCAAGAAATACAAATTAAACTTAATTTATATCTCACAAACTAGAGTGAACCGATGATAACAAAATCATATTTCAAATGTGTGTTAAATATTTCATTTTTATATTCTTCTACAAAAAATTAAAACTCAAATAAAAGTACAATGTACATATAATAAAATTTGAGCCAAATTCTAACTTCGGTTCGGGATTTTCGGTATGAGAAGTTACCTCGTACTGTTCTGTTCCCAAATGCCGAACCAAACATTCAGTTCAGTATGGTTTGGTATTTTTGCAGTATCTTTTCGGTCCAGTTTTCTCAATTTTTTCAAGAATATTTTGTATCAGTTTAGTACTTGCTCACCCTACTCGAGGATTGAGTAGCTATGAAAATGAACTTCCATTCCAAACAACTAAAAGTCATTATCTCCTCTTTGATTTTTTTTCTAAAGTATAATTTTTTACCACTTATGCAACAAAACATAGAGAAGTACAAATGAAAATTTATGGAAAAGTATTTTCCTCTCAACGAGATTTAAGAGTTAGAATCCAAAAAATAGAGCTTTAAAGAAGTTGAAGAAAAATTAGAGGATCAAACAAAATGTTTTTTAACTCCGTGCGGCACGCGGTAAAAATATTAGTAATAGAGTAAAACTTTTACATCTTTCAATTTTAACCTCGTTAACAATTACCCTAAACTATACCGGAGTATTTTTTAAAGAGCCATTAAAGCTCTGTTTGTTTGGATTGTAAAAATAGTGTTGGATGTTGAAAAAAACAGGAAGAAATTAGAAGAAACTAGAAAGAGTTGAGAATTGTTAGAAAAACTAAAGTGTTAAAAAAATCACTCAATTAAATAATTATTCAAATAAATATGTAAGGAAACTTAATTACTTTGGATAAAAAAGAATTCATCTTTGTTCGTATTTAAGGTGATATGTTACAAAATTGGATAGATGTTGTTATTCCTATATTCATCATATTATATGTAAATATTTTTTTTAGGTCATTGTTGGAATAAATTAGAAAAAATTTAAAGAAACTGAATGGAGTTGGAAAAAACTAAAAGATATTGAAAAATGTTAGAGGTTAACTTTTTCAACATAAATAAACCGACCCAAAGTATTATAATTGTGTGTTATAAAAAAAGGTATTGTAATTGTTTAAAGAAAAAAACAGTAATGTAGCCATTAGGTGGCATGGCGAATCCCGACTGCCACGTCCATGCACATCATGCCGAAAAGAGAAGAAAGGTTGGCGTGTAACACTAACAAGAGATGGGGGAGGACCTCTTTGGGAATGACATTAGAGATTAATGTTAGTGTTTTGGATAAATTTTTAACAGTGCAAATTACTTTAAAAACGCTAACATTAAAGGCTGCTCGTAGATAGCCTTTTCAAAATGCTAACGCTAATCGCTAACGTTATTCCCAAACATGCTCGGAGTAAAAGAAGAGAGGAGAAGAGTAAAAGAGCTCGGGACGTTCGTTGTTCTCATCCCCACGACGCCGAGTCTCAGTCAGGATGGGGGATGTTCTCTGTCGGGATCAGCATCCACCTCGGATGCCAAACGCGATGTCACACCCATGACCCATCAGCTTAAGGGAGTCTCTATAAAAAAAACACTAGGGTAAAGCTATTTATATCCCATTTTGTATACCGTAGATGTGTAGCAACATTTTATGTTGATGTAATGCTAATTATTGTTAACGCACAAAAACTTTGTGTTAGTGTGAACTATCAAAATGTTGGTGCATATCTTTGGTGTACAAATAGAATACAAATTTTGGGGTATGCTCCAAAACACTAATACAGAGTTTTGTTGCGGGTATTATTATTATTATAGATAAAGCTATTTGTACCCCAAGTATTTGTACCCCATTTTATATACCGCAGGGATGTACCAACACTTTGTGTTGGTGTAATGCTAATTTTTGTTAACGAATCAAAACTTTATGTCAGTGTAAGTTTTTGTTAACGCACCAACACTATGTGTCAGTGTTAACCACCAAAATGTTGGTGCATATCTTTGATGGACAAATAAAATTCAAAATTTGGGGTACATGTAGCATGCTCCTATTATTATTATTTAGTGCGAAACAAACACTAATTTTGATTTCTAAGAAGCACTCCGTATTATTTACGTGTCTGGCTGGGCCGGGTTGTAAGATTAAAGGCTGTTTGCAACTTCTGAATAGGTAAGTGCTGAACCAGTAAGAGATCTGAATCATTAAGTGAAGAACCAGTAAGAGGTCTGAACCATTAAGAGCTAGTATATTGCTTAACCATTCAGATTCTGTATAATACTTAACCATTCAGAAGCAAATGTCTGAGTCATTCAGACATCTGAACCATTAAAAGACTAAAACAAACAGTCTGAACAATTAAGTGCTGGACCATTCAAACATCTGAACCATTAAGAGACTGGAACAAATCGCCCCTAAATATAACTTTCAAATCCGGCCCTTAAGTTCGTGGTCCTTCGTTAGTTCGGGCCAGGTCGGGCCGTACCTCAAAACTTCAAAATGAAGGTGCAAAACCTAAGGGTAGGGTAGTACAAATTGTACAATTACAGTTTCAATTACCCGTATATTTTAAACTGTAAACAACTTTGTTCTTTGAGTTATTTCTTTGATTACTCACTTGTTAATTATAAGAATTATTGTTAGCTGTTGATTAAAAATTCAAATATTAATTTATTTATAACAATTAATTATTTTTAATGTTTAGAATGTTTATAACAATTCATTATTTTTTATATTTTGAATGTTCATAACAATTAATTATTTTTTACTGTGTTAAATAATATTTTGATTGATTTTAAATTCTTTTGGTTTTAAATGGTTTTTATAATAATTGAAATTTGTTTGTGTGATATTTAATGTAATTTTTTAATGAGTAAATTTCATAAAAGTTCCTCAGTTAAATATCGTTTTACATATTTAGTCCTTACATATCAAATATTACTAATTTAGTCCTCAATTATTGTATCATTTTTCACGAATGGTTCTTTGTTAACGTTTTTGTTAAGAACATGGATAAAATTATATATTCATACTTCTCTCTCCTCAATTAAGCTTCCTCCCTCCTCTCGTACTCTTTCTCAAACTCGTCGCTGAGTTTGAAGCTCTAAACCCAAAATTGAAATTATCATTCTTATCCCTATTATTAGTTTTCCTGGTGGAACCTAGAATCAAAACCAATAAGCTTTAGAAATGAGTTTTATCGGTTAGTCTCAAGAAATTGCAAAGAAAATAAACATTAAAACTCATCCATGAAGGTTACTGGTTTCGAATTTGGGTTCCACCTGTTAGATAAACAATTGAGAGAAGAGTGATGATTTCGGTTTTGAGTTCAAAACTTCAAACTCAGTGAGGGGTTTGGGAAAGGAGTGCGAGGGTAGGGAGGAAGCTTAATTGAGGAGAGAAAGATGTGTGAATTTATAATTTTATCCACGTTCTTAATGAAAATGTTAACAAAGGACCATTCATGTAAATGAATATATTAATTGGGGACTAAATTTGTAATATTTAATATGTAGGGACTAAATATGTAAAACGACTTATTATTGGGTACCTTTTATGGAATTTACTCTTTTTTAATCTTTATAGTAGTTATTACTCCCTTCGTCGCATTTTTTTTTCAAATATGACTTTGGTGGTCAATTTTTTTGTACTTTCACTACAAATAAAAAATACATTGAAGTGTGATTAAAATTTAATACCAATGGATTTATTTTGAAAGGTAGTTTTTAATAATAAAATAGAGAGATATTAATAATTAAAATGTAGAATTGGAGACTGAAAAGTCAAACTAAAAGAAAGATATGAGACAGAGAAGTACTACTCCCTCCGTCCCTAAGTGTTTATCACATTTCGAAAAACGAGGCAAAATATTAAATTTTTTCAATTCATTTTATTTAAATATTGATATTGAAATAAAATAAAATTTACTACCTCCGTCCCATTTTATAATGTCTGTTTCGATTTACGATGTTTGACTGAAATTATTTTCAAACCATTTTATATGACAAATGATATAGAATTAAAAAATAAAAATTACATATTAAAAAACTACATCAAAAAATCTACAAAACTAGTCGTGACAATAATATTTTATTTTATCAAATTGCTAACGAAAATAAAGAAAGAAAGTGAATGAAGTTTGACCCTGTGAATAGTAAACAGGCATTATAATTTGGGACAGCGGGAGTACATATTTAAAAACTACACGAAAAATTCTTTGAAATAAGAGGCGTCAAAAATATTTTATTTTATCAAATAAAATTTCATGGTCAATTGGTTAACCGATGAATCGTATCAAGACTCCAATGAACCAAAATTTTAGTACAATCAATAGCTATAAAATACATTTTCTCCGTCTCATTACGTTTGTTCAGTTTAACTTTGCAGTCAAACATGACCATTTGATCTTCAATGGAATAGATATTACAAAGTAAATTGTATATTACACTAGTAAAATATAATATATTTTTAAAAAAACATTCAACAAGATAAATATAATTAAATGAAGTTTATTGGTACATTATTAAGTACTCTCTGTGTCTCAGAACAATCGACACGTATAGAAAAGACAAAGATTAAGATAAATTTGATATGATATGGTCAAAGTAGAAGAAAAAGTATAAAAATAATTGAAAAATGTAGGATAAGTGGTTGAAAATAAGAGAATGTAAAAGTCATGCAAAAGATAGAAAAGTTGTTGAAAAGTAGGAATTCCAAAAACAAAAGGCACACTTAATTGGCTTTTGTTTTAATGATATAATTCAATATTTTTAATTGATGACCAAAGTCCATCCAATTTAGCTGCAATAAATTAAACTAGACAAGTACACGGAAATAATACTAATAACTTTGGTTAACCAACCATGCCCACCCCTAACAAAAGAAACTTGATATGTGACAAACCATACTCACACCTATTCGGGTGACCAAAGAGCGCCTATGAATATTTTTACATTGCAGATGATGTATAGTAAAAAGACACTTAAGGCAAACAGAAAAATGTTTAGACTACAACAAGGTAAGCATTCAAAAATATCCATAGGATGACACGAAAATACACACATAACAACCAAAAAATGAATTTTAAAAAAAAACATTTGCAGATAGATTTGAACGACTGTGAATGCACTTATGGTGATATGAGGAATGGTGGAGAATGGAGATGATGGGGGCATAAGAGAGATGTAAGTGTCACTTTCCACAGTTGAAGCCATGACAAACAGAAAGCACGATGATTAAGATCAATGCGATGATGATTCCCAGCACTATCAGTTTAACTTTCATGTTTTGCAGCCACATCTTTCTCCGCAGTTGTGTGCCTGTGCTTCTGAAGTCCTGTGCCTGTTCGAAATGAAGAAGCCTATGAAAACCGAAATGCCGAGTGCTATTATGTTCGGCAATAGGTTTAGTTTAGCATTTCTAAAAGTTATCCAACAATCTCGGAGACGAGCCAAAATGTAATCCTTCAAGAGTTTAAAGTAAACCCTTCACAACGGCAGTTTTCTGAAGAAAGATTTAAGTATTTGGATAACTTCTTAGTGGAGTAGACAAGGTTCATGACAAGTTGGGGGAGACAAAAGCAGTATACAGGAAATGCAGCTGGAACATGTTATCCTACTATTTAATGTTCATACAATAATACTTTAGGGCTGTCTACTCCAAAGCTGAAATATATTTCAGAAGTAATTCTGGCACCACAAAGCTGAGATATATTTGACATTGCACTGATATTCATAGAACATAGTTATACTCCCAAAACAAAAGCTTATGCACCCAAAATAAACGCTTATGCACACAACTAAATGTTATGCACACAAAAGGAAAAACAAAAATTAATCCCAGAGGGTGACCCGGCGAGTGGAAAGAGTATCATAAAACAGACCTGATCACGAAGATTCTCTGTCTTATCCACAAGAAGCTCTATCTTTTCGCCGCGGTCTAGTACCTAAAACATATAAGAAACATATTGCCTCTCATGTCCTTAAACACAAAATATTGCACCATCAGCGAACAAATTGCTAATGGTAGAGCAGTTGTCTTTCCATCATCATCATGATTGTCAAAAATTAAAACCGAATTCATGCAGAAAAGTATAATGAAAGGTGCTACAGTTTTCAGTCCAAATGGTTTGCAAGTTCTAACAGTTAACAAGAAAGCCAATCTCTGCATTGAATGATTTGAATCTAGAAATGAAAGGCAATGGCTCTTAAATTCTTTAACAGTAAGCTGGAATTGTCTACACCGCATGTATAAGGGGTTCCTACTAATAGAGTAAAATAGTCATAAGGGATTCCTAGTTGCTACCCTTATGGGGTTCCTTCTCATGTGACATACTGATTCCTATGCATACTCTTTTTCATCAACATTTTAGTAGGCCAAGTGGCAAGCTTCCAAATATTAATGTTGATGGTAACTATGAACCATAACAAGCCCACCTCTAATTAGAATTACTGATTAAAATGTGTTAACCCATTAACAAAGCTTTGAAACTCAATTAGAATACTGAAGCACTGAACACCGAAAACACCCCTCACCATTTCAGAAACCTAGCTCTTATGACCAAGCTATTAGGTTATGTAGTATTACAAAGCATAGATTTCAGCCATCTGTGTGACACTGAGACAGAGAGTCATTCAATTAAAACCCCAGACCTAACATCTGGTGATCTGCAGATTTGTCTTTGTGACAACTAAATCAAGAGAAAACATTTGACTAAATCAGGAGATAGAAAAAGTTTTCTGAAATACTTCCATTGATTAACAAGTCATCTGGTTGTTAATGTCTTTTCAAAGTGGTTCAATTACTAAAACTTAATGCTATTCATTTTTTAAAGATAAGGTCAGAAGTCGGTCATTAACGACCAAGAAAAATGAATTTCCCCACCTTCTCAATGTTCTCCATCATGACACCTTTGACTTCTGACACCTGAGCTTTCACCTTTGTAAGTTTGCTTAGCTCCTCTGGATGGCCAACGCAATATTGCATATGATCCCTTAACCTAGGCCTGCAATATACAGTCTCAATGGTAAGAAGATGAAACATAAATCTTGAGGGAGCATTTTCCAAGTCAAAGTTAATATCCAAATTCCTTCTTGAGACTATTAGAAGGAGCAGCAGATGCCTTTTCCCCTCCATATTTTAATACAAAGTCGTCCTTGATGCGCTCTAAGCAGGCTATTGGAACCTGTCTTCCTGCTGATTCTTCGGCAACCACACAATAAGCTACAGAACCACAGAGCAATAGCACAATGAGCTGTGTAATCAAAATCAAATTAAATTCATGGTTTCATTTCGTGGATTTAAGAAAAAGTGTTAAAAAAAAGCATATGCACCAAATGTGGCACAACCAGACTTCAATCCATCCATTTTCATATGAACGCACTGATCTCAATCAAATACATCCTCTAAATTGTCTCAAAATCTTAATATATGCAATTTACAAACAGCAGATTTTGAAGCAAAGAATTCAGATGAGAGGGGAGATCTGAAATCTAACAACTGCAATCACATCGAGCTTGTCGTTCACCTCATTGTCCAATTCTAGTTTTTGTCACACGAATAACTTGCAAACAACGCCACACTGTAAAGATCCTCTCCTATACGAGAATTCCACAAAGGGATAAAGCTAATACTCATATATAACTTCACTACTTCGGACAAAACCCGATCGCCTAACCGGGCATTCCATTTCACCTCATTTAGCGAATCTAAGATGAACAAAACAACTAAACAGTATCTATCAATTTCCGGATAAATTCAAAAGGGGACGCTTACTGAAGCCTTTATCGACGAGGTAGTTAAAAGTGTGGCCATCGCAGTTGTAGGTGAACTTGCTGTTGGATGCTGGAAGCTTCTGCAAGCATTGGAAGGCTATGGAGTCGAAGTTCCCGTTGAAGTTGGTGTAATCCGCCAGTATGTCGGATCCACGCGCCACGAACGCGTAAATCATCGGTTTCCGTTGAGCCATTTTCCGGTCGGCTTCCGTTCTCCGGTTGCTTCGTGATCAAGCACACATTCAAACCGAAGATCGGAATTCGGAAGAAACGCTTTCCGCACTCCGACTCATAGTCCATCCAGTCCTCTTCAGAATAGAGTACATTTTTTGGCTGGTCTAGTTAAAAAGCTAAGAGGCTGTTTGGTAACTTCTTAATAGGTAAGTGCTGAACTAGTAAGAGGTCTAAATCATTAAGTACTGAACCAGTAAAAGGTTTGAAGCATTAAGAGCTAGTATATTGCTTAACTATTCAGAGGCAAATATCTGATCAATTCAGATAAGAGGTCTTAACCATTCAAACTATGTATTACTTAACCATTCAGAGGCAAATCTTTTAACCATTCAGATATCTAAACCATTAAGAGGTTGAAACAAACAGTCAGAACCATTAAGTGCTGAACTATTCAGACATCTGAACCATTAAGAAGCTGAAACAAACAGCCCCTTAGACTAGTAAAGACAAAAATAATTACTCTCTCCGTCCACAAATAAATTTCTCGTTCACTATTAACAGAATCAAACTTTATTAACTTTGTTAGCCTATTTTTGTTACTCATTTGATAAAATAATATATTCTTGTCACTTCTAGTTTTGTAGATCTTTTGATATAATTTTTTAATATGTAATTTTTATTTTAAAATTTCACACCGTTTTTTTATATAAAATGATTTAAAAATAAATTCAGTCAAAAATCGTAATACGCAACGGGAAATTTATTTGTGGACGGAGGGAGTATGTTGTTGTAAACTCAGTTCTTTATTAATCGTGTATTTATACAAACATGTGGGAAGGTAAAGTCTAGGTAAATAAGAAAAATAAGATATTATAAATAATCAGAGTTATATAGATGTCATATTTAACATTCCCTTTAAGATATATATCATCGTTCATTATTCACTAACAATACTGGATAATATTGACTAGGTTCTTCCAAATCTATATTAACTGATTCTACAGGATCAGCTATGTTGCCTCATTGAATACCTTACTATGAAAACTAAATGGGACAAAACTTAGTCAAGGATAAAAGAGTACAACATGTATAATGCTCCCCTCAAACTAATTTATCTCCTTTAGCGTGCAGAGTCCAATCTTCTTTATAAGTTGCTCAAAACTATGTCTAGGTAGAGATTTAGTGAGTAAGTCTGCCAAATTTTTACTTGATTTAACTTGAAGAACATCGATATCTCCTCCTCTCTGCATGTCATATGTTGAGAAAAACTTTGGTGAGATGTGCTTTGTTCTGTCTCCCTTGATATAGTCTTCCCTGATCTCAGCTATGCATGATACGTTGTCTTCACATATAATATAATTGTAGGATTCTTCTTAATTTCTTCATAATTGCATGCTTCCAGTATATGACCAATCATCGATCTCAACCATACGCACTCTCAGCCAGCTTCATAAAGCGCTACCAATTCAGCTTGATTTGATGATGTTGCTGTTAGAGTTTGCTTTGTTGACTTCTAAGAAATTGATGTACTGCCATATGTGAGCACGTAACCTGTTTGAGAACAGGCATTGTGTGCATCTGATAGATACCTATCATCAGCATACCCTATAAGTTGGGACTTTCCATTTTCTGGTAGAAGAGACTTAAGTCTCGTGTCCCACAAATATATCAGAATATTTGTTTTATCCCATTCCAATGTCTACGTGTTGGGTTTGAACTGGGTCTTGCTAATAGAGTACTAAGAATTCAATATCAGGCCTTGTATTATTTGCAAGATACATAAGTGCACCGGTCACACTAAAATATGGTACTTTTTTTACCCTCTTCTTGGGGGCAATAAGGATCTTTATGTATACCTAAGGATCGGACAACCATGGGTATGTTTAACATATGTGCTTTGTCCACATTAAAACGTACTAACATCTTCTCGATGCAATTTGACTAATGCATAAATGTGCCATTGCACAAATGTTCAAATTATAAACTGAGACAAAATTTTGTTGTGCCAAGGTCTTTCATCTCAAATTCCCTTTTCAAGAGTTCTACAGTTTTTTCTATCTCTTCAGAAGATCCAATGATAATTATATCGTCAACATAAACAACTGTAATAGTGAATTTAGAGAGTGATCTTTTTATGAAAACACGTGGACTTATTACATCAAATTTGAAGTCATGTTTTTTAAGATATTCACTAAGTCGATTGTACCACATATGACCAGATTGTTTGAGACCATATAAAGATCTTTTGAGTTTTATAGCGCACTTGTCTCGAGGTATCAATTTTAATGCTTCTGACATTTTGAATCCTTTAGGGATTTTCATATAGATGTTATTCTCAAGTGTCCCATATAAGTTTGTTGTGACAACATCCATACCTTTTCCCAAATCTCATAGTTGTCACTTCTAAGAAGGTATTTGATCACGGTGTTACCAGCGTGTTCTAACAGGTGGAGATAGTAGATTGTTGTTGGATCTTGGATCAACAAAGTTTTCTTGGGAGTTTTGGCGGTCATGTTGATCAGACGGAGACAACTCTACGGATGCGGATGCCTTGCTGTTGCGGATGAATGATGGCTGATGATGAACGACGGACAGACGATGGCCTGGACACTTGGCTATTGCAGGCGAAGGACGGCGAACGAATGGCAGGTCATCGAAGAGATAACAGCCGAAAACGAGAGACGGACGAACCATAGGGTTTCCCTCAGATTCAATGCTCTGATACCATGTAGAAAATTTAGAAATGAATGTGTTGTCTTCTTTGATACAATAAACCCGTATATATAGTACTCCGTACAAGAGTTACCAAACATAAATAAGGAAATACAATCCTGCAAGGAAACCAAATAATACAAAATATTTACAAAAATATATTCCAATATCTACAATAATTCGAACAATTTGGTTAATTTGGGTCTATTTTGGTAAGACTAGAAAATTATAGAGTAAATTTTATAATTGATCCTTTAAAATCAGATTTTTTCCATATTTAATCCTCTAATACCATTTATAATGTTCATGATGCTTCGTTTATAGGTATCTTTCCAAGAATAATTATAATTTTTAGTATTCTACCATGCTGATGAAAAAAATTGAGGGTTAAAAGTATAATTTCGCATCAATCCTAGGTCAAACCATGTTTATGATGTCAATTTAACGGAAAATATAACAAGAATGTCAATGAGTACGATTACGAATTTAGATTCCAATCAACAACAACTGTGGACTATGGTTGTGGGAGCAACTACAGTGAACAAATGAGACATCAACAACGAGTTCTCACATTGGTAATGACAAGAAAGATGTAAAATAATTTATCCATGAAAATATACCGATAAAATGAAGACTAAATATAAAAATCCTCATATTTTAAAGAACTCATTATAGACAACTCTGTTGGATCCTACAAAAAACTAATTATAGAACTTATTCAAAATTAACTTATGAAAAAAATGAGCAGAGAAAGATGAGTAAAAATGTTGGAGGGGAAATTCATAAAGATTTGAGATAGAAAGATTGGTTTAAATAGAAAAGGAAATGCATTTTTTAATTTAATTGACAAAATAGTCAAAATATCGAAAACAAAAATATATAAAAAAAAACATCTATTGCACGCGGTCGGCTTAGTCAACATGGGGATCACGTCCCCGAATACCAAACAAGGGACGGTGTTCCTGCCAGCACCGAGTGACGCATATCACACCGATGCCCTACTCGTTCCCCACACCAATGAGCCTTAGTGACAATCCAAAAAAAATAATAGAAAGATTATAAGGGGAGAGGTATTATTACTATAAACATCATCCAATTGAAATGATACAAATATACTCTTACACTATGTTTGATTCAAAGAATTTGAAGGAAAACAAAAGAAAATAAATTTCTCTTACTTTCTTCACCAAAATAGAAGGAATTTGATTTTCCCCCTCTTAGTAATATTTAGTAATATGTGTCTTCCCATTTACTTTTCTTTTTCCTTTTCTTTTCTGTTTCTCTCTAACTAAACAAAAAAATCATTTTCCATCTAATTTTCTTTTTCTTTCCCTTTCAAATTCCACAAACCAAATTATAGTGTTAAGAGCATGAACAATGGTGAGACAAAAATGGAATGTCACACGCTGACGTGGCGCATTTCAACCAATAAAAAATAGTCTAGTCAACGAGTGGAGTGGCATGGCTTGCCATGACAAGTCATTGTTTTCATCCCTTTTTTTCATATTTTTGCCATATTTGAATTATAAAAAATTATTTTACTTATATATTTTTATCATGAAAATATTTCTATTTACTCAAATAAATAAATTTTTATATATATTTTTAAAATTTTTGTTATCTACTCCATAGTTTTATTTATTCCTTCATCTCAATTTAGATTATTATTTTAGAATTACGATGCAAATTAAATATCATTTTATTTAAAAATCATTATTTTTGTCAGTTTTTAAACTTTTTAAACGTTTTTAATTATTAAAAATTATTTTACTTATCCTATTTTCATAAAAAAAGATGTATTCCTTTAAAAAATCTTTTTTTAGAAAAAAAAATTAAAAAAATAAATGGGAACACATTGACACGGTCATGACTTGCAAATAGAAGAGGAATGCTCTATCCACCCATGGCAACCTCCTTCTCCGTGCTGATCTGGCAGCGTGGCATCCCTCCAAACACGCCAGTGTTGATGCTCTAAGGCTCGCATGGTGAGATTTAGAAGGTTGATATGAATTATAAACTTTGGGAAAAATTATACACCTATCTCAAATTAGATTGTCCATTTATTATTCACAAAGTTAAGCTTCATTTACTTTTTTTAATCTATTTTTGTGACTCATTTGATATAATAATATAGTCAAATTGTTTCTTAGAACAATATTGTCAAGTACTAATGCATTCCTCCTTAGAACCGTAATTTGACTTACAAAACCTTCTCATTAATTTGTAAGTGCAATAAATTACATACAGGGTCCATTTGGTAAAAGGATTGACAGAATTGAAATTGAATTAAAGTTAAAATTCTATGGACTTGGATTAGATTGAATTGAATTTTCCAATTCCTATTCATTTTTTGTATTATCAATTCCAAATCCACATTTTGTGCTATCAAACAATGGTTAGAATTGAACTCTCCAATTTTAATTTCATGACTTGAATTCTGTATACCAAACGGAGCCACAATCATCTCCACAGTAAGGATTAATAGCTTCCAACCCAAGGATTCCATACCCATTTGGTATGAGATGATGAAGAAAGACATGTTACCCATAATAATAACAGCACAATTAGCAGAAACATTTTGCTTAATTAAAGTGGACCAAACACAAAACAAGATCTTTGGCACTTGTCACTCAACTCGTTATCGAAGGGCGTGCATGACCAATTGATACCGATTCCAGATCTTCACTGCTCACAGGTCGATGAAGCTGCAATTGCAAATAGTGTTCAATCCAGATAAGAAGAAACATACAATGAACTTTTCATAAGCATCTAACTGTGTAGTATCTTGTTTTTAAGGCTTATCAGCTGGAGTTTCTACCAAGCACATATCACTATCTTATTTGATAGCATTACTTGAAAAGGCCCATAAAAAGAGATCAATTTCTTTTTTGGCTGAAATAAAGATAAAATAATACATCTACTATCATATTTACAATCTTACAGAGTATTTAAATTAAAGGAACAACAATAACAAACTCAATAGAATCCCACAAGACAGTAGAGTCTGAGATGGGTGTGTGGGAAGATCTGATTTAAATTTAAGGAAACTGGACCAAAATATCACCAAGTATGGATGATTTGACAAAACCGCTACGAATTACGAAATTGAACAAAATATAACCAACTATCACCTCTATATTGCAATAACAATATACATGTCACCGGAGAATATGAGAATCTATACAAGTACTCTCTCATTAAAACACATTGTGAATTTGAGATCATTGAATCCTGAATTTTTTTGGTACAACAGAGATAAATTGAATCCTGATTTCAGATTAAAATGTTTTCATGTACTTGGAAATATTACTCCCTTCGTCCAAAAATTATCTTCTCATTCACTATTCACATAGTCAAACTTTATTGACTTTATTTATCTATTTTTGTTGTCCATTTGATAAAATTATATAGTAATGTCACATCTAATTTTGTAGATCTTTTGATGTAGTTTTTAAATATGTAATTTTTATTTTTAAGTTCAATACCAATTTTTAAATAAAATAATTTGAAAATAACTTGAACCAAACATCGTAACACGCAATGGGAAGATAAATTTTGGACGGAGGGAGTAGTTTAGATAAAATATTATTTTTCTACAGATTTGTGGTCCATGAAAAGTTTTGTCATAGATCTGAAACTCATTCGTTAATTTCAAAATTCATCGAATCTAGACCTCGTTTAAAAAAATTATGGTTCGTGAATTTTTTTTTTACAAACTTTTATTGTCTCATGGATCTGTGAATTTTTTTTAAACCGAAGATGGATTCGGCGAATCTTAAAATTCATGAATCAGTTTTAAATCTGTGACGAAAAGCGATTTCTCCAATGACAATATATTGTGACACAATAATATTTCATCATTGGTTAAATTTTATAGTGATGAAGAAGTGAAGTGAAGTGAAGTATACGGGGTACCTAACTACTAATGGTTCATACAAACTTTGTGGAGCTTTGATCGGACAAACCACTACCAACTATGAGAAATTTTATAAAAACATTCTAGTGTGTTTATACAAGGAGATATTTATTTGAACCCTATGATCTTTAAACTGTTTGTTCTTCATTTAATAATGATGTAGCATTTAGTCAAGGTAACTTTTGATGTCCATCATAGGTCATCCGAAAACAACCACTTATAAACATTAGGATCAGGCTGCGTACGTGATTACGTGTGGTGCTTGAGCCGGGGTCTCTTTCGGAACAGTCTCTCTACTTTCAAGTAGGGGTAAGTTCTGCACACACACACCCTTCCCAGCCCTTACTTTTGTGGGATTCAACTGAGTTGTTGTATATTTATTTGAACCCTAGTACTCTGACATACACTGATGACATATATATTGTTTTTGGCCAACAGAGATGATAGTTGGTTATATTTTGGTCAATTTCATAGTTCGTACTGTTTTTGTCCAACAGCCCATACTTGGTAGTACTGTCCAATTTCACTTAAATCTATTTTAAGAAAGTAAGGAAAAGATTTTAGAATCTAATTCCGCTACAATATCAATCAAGTCAGCACTTTCAGTTATGTCAACAATTCAACCAAACCAATCTGTTCTTACTTCTTAGTGGGTGTCATAATGGCTGTTATTCTGAGGGGAGTTCCAAGTGGAATCCTTTTTGAGAAGCGGGCACCAATAGACATGAAGAGGAAAGCAAGACACAAAAATCATGCACTCAGGATATTTCATGTTCACTTAGAATAGATGAGAACTTACTGCTTTTGCAACATCAAACAAGTGAAAGGTACGCAGTAAAGCATCACTTTGTGAGGGAAGTGTATCATGATTCCAATATGTTATCTTTTGGAGCTTTGCCTTCACCTCCCAGCAATTTGAGTTTTCCTGAGACATACTTCCTTTCTCATCAGCCTTTTTCTTTCCCAACACAAACCCTGAAGGCATAATACAAAGAAATGTCACTTTTTTGAAGAAAAAAATGGTACAAATACGTTATGTTTTCGAAAACAAGCTTTGCAAAGTGTAGCTCTATTACTGAGGTACAGCTCCCATAGCAACATCAACAACAACCAATTTGGATCCCACAAGAGTAGGGTCTAGGGATGGTGCGTGTAGGTTGTTTCCAAGAGACACTGAGGTATGGCACAATTTCCAAAAAAAATTAAAAATCTTCATCTCAGATGGAGGCTCAGGCTTATAAAGACAAATCATAGTCTAGGGCCTATGCGCACAGTACAGCCAGTTCAACTATTATGATATACATGTTGTGGAAGATAACTCAAAACACATGAGCGCACGCACCCATCACACAGGTATACTAGAAAGAAAGAAAATATAACTTGCAAACCCGCACTGAAAGTAGCAAAATGTACTTATATTCTGATTCTTGAAAAAAAAATCAGGATTAACTATCAATGCACAAAGTTCAGATGGTGATTCTATTGTAATGACCCTACAATTCTAGCACATGAGGCACATCCTCTAGAAGGGTAGTTGAGGATTTGATCAACATGCTTCATACAGGTAATCAGTATCTATGTATGTTAAAGAAGGGGTTTGATTGAATTGCATTGCCAGCTATTGAAAGACTGGATATCTCAGCAAAATACCAAACAGTGTCCTTTTCTCTATCACACATAAGTGACTTGGCTTAAACTGATCCAACACATCATGAGCATAAAACATATGTTTCCTTCATTTTAGACATGTGGGAGTCGTGGGTCAATGTTTGTCCATAAAAAAAATTTGGTTTTGAAAGATATTTGTCTCCTCTGTTACATTTACAGATTTACTAGCATACATCCCCTTGTAAGAAAAAACAAGTCTAAAACCCCTCTTTGAAGTATTTTATGCTAAATTGCATGGTCAGCCTTGACTCCCTTGAATCTTTAAAAAATTTTACATGTTGAAACATTCAGCATCTAAAACAAATATCCAGCACTATATTACATATATAAAAAGAAATTTCCATCAAGGTTTTTATCTTAACAGGACTCTGTGCATGAAAAGTTGAATATTATCATAGTAAAATTACACCAAGTTACATAAAGAATACATTTGAGTCAATTGTATCAACAAATGACACAAGAGGTTACATGAAAGGGAAAAAAGGTAAACAGATGACTTACTACTGTTACATATTGTGTTTTGGTGGTGCGAATGAACAACATACTCAGTATAATCCCTACTTTTGATTAAGGTTAAATGGGCCATGATGTAAGCAACATTTCCCATATTAAAAAAGAGATTTTTGTTAGACCCCTTGATGCATTACTGCAGTTCTTGGTCAAAACTTCATCTAAAGTAAGAAGCAAGGGAAGTTTTATGTACCTTTTTGGTTTAGTTTGTTATTTACTGGAAGTTATTACATTTTCAAAATGACTCTTTTAGTACCATGCCTCCATTGGTAATGAACGGCGGTGGTGCAGATTAAGTGGGGTTAAGAGTGACTCCCTCTATCCAAGTCCCACATAAATAACAATGTTTGAGTGTTTGACTCAAGTTACCCACAAATTTACTCCTTAAAGGGCATTTAGAAGTAATGTATAAAATCTATATACTTAAAAAACTATTAGGTATATTAAAAATTGTGCAGAACATAAAACCTGATTTAATAAAATGACTTAAAACAAGTAATACATTTTCTTGTTTGGATGAGAAAATGGTGAGTATGAGATACAAAAGATTAAATATTCTTCCATCGTGCCGAATACTTTTCCTTGCCAAAAGGTGATGAAAATTAAGGAACAAGGAAGACTGAAGAGTTAGCAATTTACTCCCTAATAATAACTGCACGAACAAACAGCCTCCTCTCTCCCTCTCAATAGTCAATAAACCACTGGTGTGTCCTACCATGCTCTCTTTTACTCACTTTATTATCATTCATGCATCTAATTTTACTCCACCTTGCCTTGCTCTATTTCCCCTCTTATTTTCTCTCCCACTTTGTGTCTCAATGACTCTCAACGTATAGGCAACTTCAGGTATGGCCATCAACAACTCGTGGAACATGAGTATTCATTATAACAGAAGGACCAAACCAAAAATCCATAAAGAAGAAATCCAAAGCATGCATATTCTCGTCAACTAATAGAAACACTGAATGGTACACTATCACCGTGAGCAACAACCCAGTAGAATTGCACGAGAGTAGGGTTTGGGGAGGGTGTGTGTACGCAGACCTCAAAGTACAAAAAGCAAAGAGGTTGTTTCTAAAAGAGACCCCCAGCTTGAGAAAATGCATAAAGCACAGAAAGCAAAGAGCACGACAAAATAAGAACCTAACAAACATAGGAAGAAGAAGGAAACACGATGAAAGTAAAACACAGAGAAACAGAACACCATCACCATGAGCATTAAAAAATATTATTTTGACAATAAAAAGTATCTAATTTGAAGTTAAAGAACAAATAGAATATTCAATGCAGCTACTTATGAACTACTCATGCATTGTTAAATAAGCTAAGAAGTAGTATTTCTACATTCCATTACGAATGACCTCTGATACAAATGTTGAAACTGAAGCGTTTAAGATTCATCGATTATGCACATAATTTATGTAGTAAATCAATTAAGAGAAAACAACCAGAATAGCCTTGTGGTATGGGAAGCGTGGTTCCATTGAGCTTCCTTCCTCTGAAATGAGCTTCCTCTATGCTTAGCCCATCAAATACCACCTCTTCTCGTCCATGTAAGAATCCGAAACAGAGAAACGCAATAGATTAATCATCGCAAGTTTCGAAAATGTCAAAAGGATGCAATGGGTGCGGGCAATTTTGGGCGATGGATTCGTACCAGTAGGTTTGGGTCTGAAGTAGTGAGAGACGTTGGAGGATCCGTTGTACTTGATGCAGCATGGCAGTTGATGTACAACGCCGGTCAGATCCACGGCAGGGCGACGATGGCCGGAGAAATCTACTGTGCCCGAAGCCCTTCCGTCTATTGTTCCCGCCATTTTGCTGGGACTAGAAGTTGATATGAGAGTTGAGACGCCCTAAAATAATCTTTTTATTTCTTTTCTTTCTTTAACATCCAAAGAAATCTCCACTACTATTTTTGGAGCATATACAATACTTAATTGGAATGTTTGATCCTATTTCAATAGATTTGAACCCACCTCCAACCTTTTCAACTTTATCTCCAAATTTTGTTGATTTTGGGCCAAATATCAAAGTTAATGAAATTTTGAGAGGAAATTGGAAGGGATTTGCCCATTTGTTCGGTTGACCTTCCAAGGTGAGTTTTTCAATTGTTTTTGATGAAACTAGCCATTTGAGCTTTAAAAAATTTTTTTAAAAAAATTACTATTTAAAGTTTTTAAACACAACACTCCACTCATCTTTTTCACACACTTCACATCCATTTCATTGAATTCTAATACTATTTTTGTTGAATATTTTTCACAATCCTGAACATCATGGATCTATTTCGATCATCGGTGTCTTTCCAAATACAACAATTTCAAGAATTGAAGTAGATGGGGGCATCATTAATAGGGGTCCAGGGGCAGCGCCCTAGTTTTTTATAGAGTATTTGAAATGACAAAAAATATTATTCTTATTTCAAATATTTATTGAATGTAAAACATTTTTTAAAAGGTAAGGTGAAATTTTATTTTATAAAAAATTATTTATATGTAATAAAATACACTTTACTAAGAAAAATTAAACAAGAAATTTGAATTTAGCCAAATTAGATGTAGTCATATTAATTTTTGAAGGGGCAGATATGCATAAAATTTACTTAAAAACTATTTTTAACCTTATTACAAAAAATTAATTGGGCGCATTTGCCCCCTACTCCAAACGAGTGGATCCGCCACTCGTAGCAAGTTCAAAACATGTAGCGCCAGACCATCCCAACCACCGGCACGCTGCGATTGCTCCCACACAAGACGTCCCTTTCGATATCGAAGACGATATCAATGAGGTTGTGCCCGACACACAACCTTCAAAAAATTGAAAGGGAAGGGAGAACGTAAAGGGAGACCAAGCACGACTTGGAATGATCCAAAATCTAGACTATGACCGAGGAGGAAGCGTTAGCTAAAGCTTGGTTAACATTTCCACCAACCTAATAAGAGGTTTAACTTGAATTAACTTTTTTAGGTAAATTTATTATTATTTCATTATATAGTATTATTTTTTCTCAAATTTTTTATCACTCTGAAACGGGTCTGGCACGAGAGGAACAAGAGGACCCGCCAGTTTTGGTGGCACCAGGTAGGCCGCTTAGACATGTTGGGTGCCCACAAAGATACAAGGATTATGTTACGTCTTGATATTATTATTTATTGTTTTGTAACATAGATTTTATTAGGAGAGCGGTATTATAAGCTCATTCAAGTGTTTTTTTCGGTTCTTTACCTCAATGCTTTTCTTGAATCGACAGGGTTAGAATACAATATAAAATTAGTTTATATATAGAGGTGTACCCGTATCAATTTTATTATGAATACAATACGAAATTAGTTTAATCCCCTCTTCTTGTTTTCGCTAAAACCCTAACTGCGTCAACCATACGTTGGCTGCGCCAGGGTAGTACCTCCTTTGTATCATCTGGTGCTTTCATTGTCGTTCTCATACAAAGAGAACAAGTTCTGAGATTTATTGCTGATTAGTTCATTCAAATCATACAAAGAGAACAAGTTCTAAATGCATTCTATTTGCACTCGATGAGAAATTCTAAAATCCAATCAAATGTTAGGAAACAGCAAGATTTAGCAGTCTTCACTATAAGCTCCCTTGGGAGTGGTCAAAGCTTTGAAGGACACGTAGGCGGCAAGTTTAGAGGACGTAGACATCAACACTCGAAGATGAACAATAACGTGCCGGAGAAAAGACAAACCTCATAGTTGGTGGTGATAAGAATATACAAATCTTACTTCCTGTTTTGATAAAGACGACCAAAGTTTTGAACAAATGTTTAGAAGTGACAGATATATTTTATTTTATCAATTAATCAATGAAAACATACAAATAAATACAGAGTAAAAGTTATCGATAGACAATACACGAGCATCAATTTTGGTACGGAGGGAGTATATAAACACATGCTTATCAAATAAGCTCACACAACCAAATAGAACTAATTTGCAATATTTCACCTAAAAGAGTCCATAGCACCTTGCTACTCAATTCTGACTAGTTTTGGGGATATGTTGAAAAAAGAAAAAAGACAAATCACCAGAATTTAAAAAAAAATCAAATGCTACAGTATAGTCTTTCATTAGCAGTCCTCTGACTAACATTACTTTTGCCCCCAAGAAATGTAGAGTAGAATTTAGACTTACAAGATACAAATAGAAATTACAACAGTAGGAAGCAGGAGAGTGTGAGCCCCAGCTTGCAACACGTCAGTTTTCGTCGGTTGCAGCAGAATAGGAGGCATCAGCCACAGATGTGTCCATGTCATTAAGGCCTAACTCTTCGTTCTGCTCCCATGATCTCTCATATTCCTCAACTGCAATATATACCCAGTTACCAAAACAGCTGATGAAGAACTTAGGTTTGCATTGAAGAAGAGCAATAGAGAAAAATGGCGACTTTCCATTCAAAACATTATTATATGGAAGGAACAGTCCTCCAAAACATGAGTAAAATGTCGGCTAAAATCCACCATTGGTCCTTCAACTTTATGAATTGTGCACGATTGGTCCTTCAAGTTTCAAAAGTCCATAAGTAGTCCTTCAAGTACATGTCAACCCTTCAGATGAGGTCCTTTTGACAGTAAACATTAAAATTTAAATGGAATACTAGTTCCATATAATACAAGTAAATTCCACTAGGTACGACTGCTCTGTATTATATGGAGCTAGTACTCCATTTAGCTTTTAACGTTTACCGTAAAAAAAGACTTCATCTGGAGGGCTGACGTGTACTTGAAGGACTACTTATGGACTTTTTAAACTTGAAGGACTAATCGTGCACAACTCATTAAATTGAAGGACTATTCACGGACTTTTGAAACTTGAAGGACCAATTGTGCACAACTCATAAAGTTGAAGGACCAATGGTGGAGTTTAGCCGTAAAATGTCCTATGTCGCATAATAGGAAATTTGGATTCTTCATCCGTGATGTATTGAGAAAAGCCCCGTCAATTTCCTAGAAATCTAACGGCACCCCATGAGATTTCCATGTGTGTGAAAACGGTTCTCTCCATAGAAAACTTTACTTCCCTTCCATGCTAGTCTTTATCAAAACGAAGTGAGATTTGGATGTAACTTCAAAATAACTGAAGTTTTTTGAAATTGTTATTGTTCAAGTTAACGAACTTGCTGAGTTATCAAGAAAAAAAAAAAGTCAATCTTTTTAATACATTGAAGAAATAATATCTAAAAATGATAGTGTAAGAGTAAATTTCACCCATATCAGCAATCTGGACAACAGAGGGAAATAAGTTGGAATTTTAAGAATAAGAAAAAAACTCTATGGCACTACCACATAAGAATATTGAGATGTTCAACATCCGCTATGCATGAAAGATATACATGGAGGATACTTACATTTTAATTGCTCGTCATCTTTCATGTCATCAGTAACAGGGGCCACAAATGAATTTGCCAGTGCATCATCGATAACCAAAGTCCAATGTCTTTCCAAGCACAAAAGCTGAAGTATTATTAATCAAAACATTAGTTCCAACTAACTTTTATGATATGTCAACAAACTTAACTAGAGGTAGGCAGTTTGAGGTGGGTGTATGGAGTTAATATTTCATACCAAATTCTTTGGCTAGTTATGTGATGAAAAAGGTGGGGATATGTATAAATGCTATTTGTAAGATGACCATGAAATAGACTAATGTTAGTGATTAAGTGATAGTATTATAGGTTTGGAGGGGCTGAAGGGTTTCCTCCCTTAGTTGGCCTCTAATTCAGAGGTAAACTAAATTAGTTGGAGGTAATGACTACCTCACATCATCTCAAAGTAATTCCTAAGTTTCTTTTTCCAAACAAGATCAACCGATATAAAATGTGAAAGTTACCGTCGCCTCCCTCTAGTTACCTCTTCTGAAACAGTATTAAATGGATGCAAGTGGCAAGGTCAGCCATTGACATACAGACTAAGAGAGTAACTACAATAACATTCACCTTGCTAAGTCTTTCTCTGAAATCCAGCCACTTGCTTTTCCTGTCATCGTCAAGACTATCTCCAAATGTGAATCCATGAACCCTTTCTAGACCTGCAGTTTCATGCAAAGATTACTTTTTTTCCTCAAAGACACAGTCTAGAGCGGGAATGAGAAGGAAGAAGAAGGAAGTGCATAAGAAAACACTCACTTTCACTAATTTTTGTGACTAAACCTTCAACAGTTGTTACAACACCACCCAGAGTGCCACTAGCAAGCTCCAAGTCAAGCTCTGGTATGCTCACCCCAGCACTATCTGACTGATAAAAGGCGCCAGATTTTCAAAATATAACCGAGTAAAATAGCAAACAATAAAAAGGGATCAAACATATATGAGCAGAAGTTTAACCTTTATCACATCTCTGCTTAAATCTTTGACATTTTCCACGTGAAGGGTGATCTTCTTTCCTTTATCAGAGATGCTACCACCAGGTTTCAGCTGTGCAGATGAGCATAAGATTCAACCAAATGACGAAACAATTAAAGTCTTTCAAAAAAAATAAACGTATATTCGCAGTGCCAAAAAGATCACAATTGGCTTTTTCATAGACTTTAAGGAAATGAGAAATTTTGTGGTTGAGGTTTTTAAAATGAACAACGCAGTTCTTTCCTTGAAAAGAATGAAAACTTCAATTTAGGAGGTTCCAAAAAAAAGTGAGAATTTAATATTGGGATGGAGGGAGTATATAGCATTCAATCACAGATCTTGAAAATTCTTAAAATTTGATTACAAACCTCAGAATTACGGTATCCACAAGCATCACAAGAAGATGCCATTACAATCACTTCTCGAAAATATGGAATATCTATATGTGGTTAAGTTCACAAACTCATATCATATGCATAAACCAAATATCAAATACTAAAATCGGCAATGCTAATGATTGATGATGATGAAGATTATTACTACAATAATAGAGTATTTGGCAAT